TGAATTTTAGATAAAAATACTCAATATAAAAATATAGTGTAATAGAAAGTATTCCAGTGAAATGGTTGATGATGGCACGAATAAAGTTAATGTTTAGGATCTACTAGAATTAAAACGAAGTCAATGGCATTTTTTATAATTAATCATGACCAATGATCTTGATTAATTACTTTACATAAAATGTTTTTTTTTAAATTAAATGTCTAATTTTTAGTTCGGTAGGATTTGAGCATAATAGTTTATTGAAAACAATTAATTATTTTTTGTAATTATTAAGAACTTATTTTTTTTTTTTTGACTTTTTATAAATAAATATGAAATAGTAGTTTTGTATACCATTATTTACTTTAGAAAAAAGCAATATATTTAGTATTTTAATGTATAACACACAAACTAAAATATTATATATTTTTTTTATAATAATTTGTAATCCTATTAATTATGAACATGTATACATATTTTTAAATCCTTCATATTAACGTAATGATATATTTTTCAGTTATTCGCTTAGTAAATTCATACGTATAAATTATTGATAGGAATGAAAATACAAAGGCTACAGGTTGTTTGTTATTGTGTAAATTATTTATTTATTTATGCACGTACGGTATTGCATTACTGCCTAAGTGAAGTCGTTAAATTAATTTACATACATCTAACTAACAAATCAGTATTTCCTAGCAAACGTGCCCTCATGGGCTTAACGTGTGGAGCACGACAGTATCATGTACAGATTTGCATAAAATATTAATAAACATTATTCAATTATGTAGTTCATTACTCTTACAGTTAAAATTTATCAGTGTATAAATATAATACTGTTTTATTATAAATAATTTAACCATATTTATTAACTAAATTATAGTTTTTAAATTAATTCCATTAAACTTAATGTACGTTTAATAACATAATAATAATAACGAAGTGTCTGATTATTACTATACTGTTGTAGAAAATATGTTTTTCGTCAAGAAACTTTTTTTTTACCTATTATAACAGTACTATATTTTTTATTGTGTTATTTATGATTTTAAACTTTAAATTAAAATTAGAGAATTAGAGAAAATAATACTGTGATTTAAATTGCGTTTATTAAAAAAATATTTCAAACTCGACTAATAAAAATCAGTTATGATAATTGTGCAAGACATGTTTAAAAAAAAAAAAGAAAAATGAAATTTTTGAATATACAGTGTAATTTATTATGAATACTAACCCCAAATGTTTCATTAGGTAATTATTTTAGCTTCCATACAAAGATGAGAAAGTATTAATCTTACTATGATGTGTTTATTTTATTTTTAAAACAATTTTCCCGACTACTTGTCTCCTATACGTAAACGTCGTTCTCCGAAGTTAAAAAAAAAATGTTCTTTTTATGTAAAAATCACTGTTTTTCGTGTTGTTCTAATTTTGTACTTTATTTTTGTCGATTATTTATGCCTAAATTTTATGTCAAACGTTATAGTCATTTAGGAGGGGAAGGTTAGTATCTCAATTTATCGTCGACCTTTTACAAAAAAATAATAAATAAGATTTAAGTGTTAGTTATAAATATTTTCATGGCGAATTTTTGCTACTTTTAATGTCAATTCAACAATAATATAAAAAGGAAGAGGGCTGCTCTTTCTAAAAATGATAATATTAAATTATTGATTATTAACTTCATGTTAAATTTATTTAATATAATAAATTCATTAGTGTATTATACTTAGTGATTTTAATCACTGTCATTTGTTATCTATACTTTTCCCAACTATTTAGTGACACCGCTATGCTACTGTTTTTGTTTTTATTGTTAATGAATTAATTTAAAAAATATCTATTTCAGAGTGAACACAAACTAATATTCACTCTGTTCATCCAAACTATGCAACGTCCCCATTGTGTTACCATTTTTTTTGTACAAATGTTTTATTTGAATTATTAATTTTCGAGTTATTATCATGTAATGATTTAGATGAGGTAAGGAGCGTGGTAGTGTTAGTGTTCCTCAAGTTTTATTCATTGCACAAAAATGAGAAACTTACTCTCGCCTTTACCTTAAATTATAAAAATTAGAAAGTAATATTACAGAATTGATTATGGATTGATCAATATTTTATTTTGTCTAGTTTTGATCTAATATATAAAAATAATTATATACTGTCATTTAATTTTTGAAGGTTACCCCTTAAAACTACCTTTGGAAATAGTTCATTATTAAAATTTACTTTTAATAAATCATGGTACATAAAAGTAAATACAATTTTATTTAATACATTGTATAAAAAAAATATTATTTAACGAAAAAATTAGGACTGGTATTCTTAATAAATCACCTTGTACACATATTATAATAAGACAGTCATGATAATAAATGAGATTAGTTCAATCTAAAACTAAAAATAGGTTCACCTAAACAACTCATAATATTGCGCTTATTTCTCATCGATTCGTTTCGGATAACTGTGGTATAATTTATACATTTTTGTTCTTATTTTAAAATTATGTTATTTTTTTTATTCATTTTAGTACTATTGTTCAAAACACTTATTGATTTTCAATATTAAAATACAAATAATGTTTTAACAGCTTAATTAAAACATTTGAAATATTTTAATGTTATTCAAACTGATTTATGCTCTGGAAAAATTAAACACATTGAAATATTAATAATTGATTAAATATAAGAGGATATATTTTATTAATACCCAAAATGTTTTTTTTAAGCAATTTCAAATTGTTTTTAATTATTACGGACAAAATATTTTGTTCTTTTATAACTTTTAAAAGCTATACGCTCTTTTGTAAAAAAAAATAATTAAATCAAGTTTCATTTTAAAGTTACTATACTATATTCATATTAATAATAACAATTTATTATTTGTTGCCAAATTTTACTCTTTTATTCAATTAAATTAAAAAACTTTCAGTAATAGATTTAAAAACATAAATGATTTTTAATGTTATTAAGATTAAATGTAGATTCAAAATTTGTTAAAGATATTTAAAATAACCTACAGTAAAAATATGAAGTTTTGCTAAAAATAATACAATATTCAATTGTATTGTCATCTTAACTTTATAAATGAATTTCTAAAATAATAAATCAGTTTTTTGTTGATAAAATAAATTTGTTATTTAAAATCTCATTACTTTTTCTGGGAATTTCGAAACGTCATTTTAAAATAAGATTACTGTTACCATTTATTTAATTACTGTTTTCGCGTTTGAAAATATCAAATAGGTACAAAAGAAATGACGAATACTGATATTGATGTCAAACACAATTCGCTATACATTTGCGAAGTGTTATATTATTATTGAATTTACTTCTATTTCTACTCTAAGCTATAACTTTGGTGAGTGCACTCGACAAAAAGTTGT